GTTTACCATGTTGGTGGCTTCTAGCACTGTGTGATGCTGCACATTGCACTGTTTCACTAGTTATGGCTTTGTCAGGTGAAAAAAAAACCTACGGTGTAGGGCAGGGTAGACAAAGACAGAAACACTGATGTTTTAAAACTACACCTTCCATGATACATTGCCAGGCTTAAGTCTTTCTCTTTGTTTCTAGATATGTAATTTACTTTTTACAACAATAAAAAATGATCTAAATATGAGAAGTGGTGATGTTTTGTTCGGTTCATGTTGTTGGTACAAACCTACAGGCTTTCTATTCAAGCATGTAAATTAAAAATGAACTAATAGTAAAAAAAATTTCTAAGTAACAGTTTAGACATTCAAAAGCAAAATATTTACAACTATTTTGCAACCTAAAATATAAAACAATTGCCCCTTAAAGTCTTCTATATTAATTTTAAGAATTATTCATGTGGGAGACAAGACTCAGATTGCAACACTCTGGGAGATTGATAATCTTGAGAGGAGTCTGCTGCTCACTGAGCAGAGTTTAGTGGGTGCAGGTAGTGGAGTGGTAAAGGGATGAGACAGTTGGAGAACAGGCACATAGCTGGGTAACAGTGGGGCAAGGAAGCAGATGGGAGGGAAGAGGAAAGGTTTAGCTAGTCCTGATCTAATGCAGCCTAACAGATTTGCCCATTTGAGTGAAGATGTTGGGAGCATCAGCTCAGGAGAAGCTGTACTGCAGGAAGCTGTTCCTTCTAACAGCCGTGGGAACAGCCCCTCTAGTACGGGTGGGGTTGAGAGGGTAAGGAAGTCTAGACAGGTTGTGGTGGTAGGGGACTCTATTATTAAGAGAGTAGATAGGGTAATCTGCCACTCTGATCGACTCAACCGGACAGTTTGCTGTCTCCCGGGTGCTCGGGTCCGGGATGTTGCCGACAGTGTGGAGGGATTATTGGGAGGGGCTGGGGATGACCCAGCTGTCATGGTCCATATTGGTACCAATGACAAAGTCAGAGGAAAATGGAAGGTCCTAAAGAGTGAGTTCAGGGATCTAGGAAGTAAGCTAAAGAAAAAGACCTCCAAGGTAATATTTTCAGAAATATTACCTGTGCTGCGCGCTACAGCAGAATGGCAGAGGGAGATTAGAGAGGTCAATGCGTGGCTGAAGTCTTGGAGCAGGAAAGAGGGTTTTGGGTTTTTAGAGCACTGAGACGATTTTGTGCTAGGGTACAACCAGTATAGTCGTGATGGAGTGCACCTAAACGGAAGAGGGTCTGCTGTGCTGGGGGATAGGATGGCTAGAAGGTTGGAGGATATTTTAAACTAGTAGTAGGGGGGAGGGTCAAAGCAATCTAGAAAATGGAGATGGGATAGAAATGAGATGGGCTTTAGCTCATAACAAAGGGGGTGGAGATGGGGGAGGGGAAAACTTATAACAGAGGAGGCATGTAATATTGATAATTCACAAAAAGTACAAATGACTCATGGTAATATTAAATGAATGCTTACTAATGCAAGGAGCCTATATAAAAAATGGGGGAACTAGAGGCAATAGCATACACTAAACAATATGATATAATAGGCATAACAGAAACATGGTGGGATGAGACACATGACTGGGCAGTTAACTTAAATGGGTACACGTTATTTAGGAAGGATAGGAAAAACAAGAAGGGTGGTGGGGTATGTTTGTATGTCAGCCATAAACTAAAGTTAAATCTTAGGCATGTGGAGTGTGACGAGGAAAATGTGGAAGCTTTATGGGTAGATATCTGCTTGGGGCAAACAAAGGGAAATAAATTATTGGTTGGGGTATGTTATAAACCACCAAATGTAAATATTAATGAGGAAGAACTGCTGTTAGAGCAAATTGGGAAAGCTGCAAATCGGGGTAACACGTTAATTATTGGAGATCTTAATTACCTGGACATAAATTGGGATAGAGGGACTAGTACTTCAGCAAGGGTGTAGCGGATCGGCAATATTAAAACACGAATTCCGCTGGTATCTTCAGTAATCCACAGTCAGCGCTGAAAAGGAAGGCAATATCCCAAATCCCCCAGTAACCGGACGAGACACAGTTCTGGGAGTCAACTGAGGCTTTATTCACAGGTTCCACAATTTATGCAAGGGGTTTCCTGAGTCACATCCCAGGGGCATTACAGGAGTGGACTACATGGGAAACTTAAAGTACTGCATTTCTCCTATCAGGCACTGCTTCACGAGAGGGATCCTCCCACTGGAATGTACAGTTAAGTGGATTATCCCTCCGTGCAGCAGAACTGACAATTCACACAAAAATGCATAACTTCACCAATATTGGGGTGATTTTAACGAATGGACATTCGGTAGATAGCTGGGGTCTGAGCACATAATTCGTGAGATTACCGCTCAGATCCCAGCTAAAACAACCGAACGCCGCATGAAAAGCCAAAGAATGCAAAACCAACCCCCAAAATTTTTTCAAATACATCAATTCTAAAAAAACAAAAAAATGAAAGTGTAGGTATACTGAAAACAGAGATGGGTCTGTTAGTTAATGAATACCAGGAAATGGCAGACATTTTTAATAACTATTTTTCTTCAGTATATATTATGAGGGTCCTATGGCAAGAGATAAGCAAATGATTGCTGCAACAAACTTGCAGATAACTTGTAATTGGATAACTCGAGACAAGGTGCTACAGCTATTAAAGAAAATGAATGGAAATAAAGCTCCGGGACCTGACGGTATCCACCCACGAGTACGTAAGGAGCTAAGGGGGGAAATAATTGATCCTCTGTATTTAATTTTTTAAGATAATTTTGTTTCGGGTATTGTACCGGAGGATTGGAGGAAGGCAGATGTTGTTACTATACAAAAAGGGTTCAAAATCCTTGCCTGGAAATTATAGACCTGTGAGCTTAACTTCTGTGAATGGGAAATTATTTGAAATGCTATTAGGTGATAATATTCAGGAATTCATTGGGAAGAACTGTGTTATTAGCAATAATCAGCATGGTTTTATGAAACATAGGTCATGTCAAACTAACCTAATTGCATTCTATGAAGAAGTAGGTAGAAGTATAGATCAGGGTGTTGCAGTGGATGTGATCTACTTGGATTTTGCCAAGGCATTTGATATGGTTCCTCACAATAGGTTAGTCTTCAAACTAAAAGAAATTGGTCTAGACAAATATTCTTTTTCTTGGGTAGAACATTGGCTTAAGGATAGAGTACAATGAGTTGTCATTAATGGTAAATTTTCAAGCTGGACTTAAGTGCGAAGTGGTGTCCCTCAGGGTTCTGTTTTGGGACCGCTTCTATTTAACATATTTATAAATGGTCTTGAAATGGGCATTGAAAGCCATGTATCAGTGTTTGCAGATGACACTGTCAGGATTACAGAATGATCCAGCACGTAGAATTGTGTAACACAGAGGACTGATAGGTAACATATACTTGACCTTAGAATGGCCGGACTAACGTACCAAAGAATAGTCAGGAATATCCAAGGTCAAGGGATACAGAAAGAGACACAATGATAAGGAAAAGCCAGGAGTCAGGGATGCCAGAAAACAGGGAAGTCAAAAACAATGCCAAAGTCAAATAACCAGAATAACCAAATTTCAATAACGCGCTCTCGGACAACCACAAGGGAAACCACGGCAGGGCACTGAGCAGGATGAGAACTGGGCCTAAATACCCCTCTCCTAGATCTGATAGGCTGTAATTGGCCTTTGACCCCAAGGGCAGTTACCAGGTTTCCATTTGCATAATTGCTTCTCAGCATTAACCCTTCTGTGGATTTGGTTGCTGCTCTTCACAACTTTTCATGTGTGGACCGTAAATGCCATTAACCACATTTTTATAAGCGGATGAATACGTGACAGACACAAAACTTTGTAAAGTAATAAAATGTGAGCAGGATATTGCCTTGCTGCAGAAGGATTTGGATAGATTTGGGGACTGGGCACTAAAATGGCAGATGAAATTTAACGTAGAGAAATGCAAAGTTATGCACTTCGGGGTTAAGAATGCACAAGCAATTTACACCCTAAATGGTAGTGAACTAGGGATAACCCCACACTAGAAGGATTTGGGAATTGTTATAGACAACAAATTAGGCAGCAATATACAATGTCAATCTGCCGTTGCTAAGGCCAGTAAGGTTTTGTCATGTATAAATAGGGGCATAAATTCTCGAGATGAAAATATAATTTTGCCTCTTTATAAATCGCTGGTAAGACCAGACCTAGAATATGCTGTGCAATTTTGGGCACCTGTTCTAAAGAAAGATATCATACCACTAGAAAAAGTGCAGAGACGAGCTACAAAATTGATAAAAGGAATGGAGCATTTTAGTTATGAAGAAAGGATAAAAAATTGAAATCTCTTTAGTTTGGAAAAACGGCGCCTGAGAGGGGATATGATAACATTATACAAATATATTCGGGGGCAGTACAAACCATTATCTGAAAATCTATTCATAAACAGGGTTATACACAGGACACAAGGTCACACATTTAAGCTGGAAGAAAGGAGATTTAATCTAAGGCAAAAAAAGGTTTTTTTTACAGTAAGAGCAATAAGGATATGGAATTCTCTGCCTGAAGAGGTGGTTTTGTCAGAGTCTATACAGATGTTTAAACTGCAATTGGATAAATACTTGCAAAAACATAACATACGGGGATATAATTTCTAATTTGTGGGGTAATAGCAGCTTGATCCAAGGTGACATCTGACTGCTATTTTGGGGTCAAGAAGGAATTTTTTCCTAGTTTGTTGCAAAATTGGAAGCGCTTCAGACTGGGTTTTTTGCCTTCTTTTGGATCAACAGCAAAAACATATCTGAGGAAGGCTGAACTTGATGGACGCGTGTCTCTTTTCAGCTATGTAACTATGAAACTATTTAAGATATCAAATTTCTCCTGCTTTTCCTAATGGGAGGAACTTATCTCATTCCACGTGTAAAGCTTTATCTACCTCATCTGCTCTGTATTATTTAGAATTAAACTTGTGCATTTGACTTCAAACACATTGTGATCAGTGTACTGCAGTAATATAAACATAATATAAGTATCATATATATATATATATATATATATATATATATATATTGCAGTACACTTATCATTCACAGATCAAGTGAGAGTAAATAACTAATAGAGGGACAAAAGGAAAAGCAATAAAAACAATTACAAATCTATATTTATATATTTTATAATTAATAAATATATAATATATGGAAATACATATTTTTTTACTAGTCCTCTTTTTTCTCTCTGCTGGTCCCTTCTCACTTGATCTGTGACCTAAATGGCACGAAAATGTGCTTGTCAGAGTACTGCAAAAAGATACATAATATTTGTACTACGTATATATTTCTGCAGTACACTGATTGGCCCATTTCCCCTTTCCATTTGGCTCATATCAATAATATTGCCAAAACGATTGCATGGAGGAAATTCATCTGAGCTGAAATACCGCAAAGATAAATTTTGGTCCACTGAAGCAAATAATTTTTTGGGACATATCGGTTTGGTTCAACCAAATTGAACCACCGTTCACAAGTCTATTTAAAAACTACTGTGCTGATTAAACCATGTATAATAATTGTGGACATTTTTATTTTTGTTATTAAAAAGTGGTATTCATATTATGTTAATTAAAACCCATTTTACAGACGACACTGTACAATTTGGCTGTTTTACAATAAAGACCTCGATTTAATATTTTTGGATAAACTTTTCGAATTATTTAATATTTTTGGATAAACTTTTAAAAATGTTTTAAAAAATTAAATATCAAAAACATATAAAAATTATATATAAATATATATAAACAATTAAAGACTGACATATTTTTCAAAATATAAAATCAGTTTAAAAGTTTATCCAAAATTATTAAATCTTTTGAAACGATTATCCAAAAACATTAAATCAAGATCAAAATTAGAAAATCACTTTGAATTCTCAATATTTCACCCTATAGCTAATAATTATATGTGTGTCTAATTTCAATGGCACTAATGAGATTATTATTAAACAAAACACCAAAATGTTAACCCTGGCAAATCTTGGGACCCTGCTTATCTCTTTTGTCAATCTCAAGAATTCTCCATTAACAATAGCTCTTTACATTGTTTAAATCCTATTTCAACAAAAGTGTTACAGTAATTTTATACTATGCTTTTGTGGAATTCAAGTGGGCTGATGAGGAGAGATAAGCACCAGGAGTCTTTGCTAATGTCATCAGTAGTCTAGTCAGCCTGCTATTGATAGCAAAGCTGCAGGAACAGTTGTGATGGGTTTAAAACTCTATGCTGCCCCAGCTCCCGCAGTGTCTGTGTGGGAGGATGGACATGAAGAATAAGGGTTCACTTCCTGTTTGCTCACTAACAGCCTCTCACACAGGAAGTGCCTCGCAAAGGGAGTAGGGATGGCCTTGAGTTATGCACACTGTATAACAGTTCCTGCATCTATTCTCTGTTATTCATCATATGAGGGTGACTGGACTACAGAAGACATAGGAAGGTAAGTACTTTGCAAATAACCCTTCAAACTCCACATGCCCTGAAGCCTAAACAAACCTACTTTTTAGTCCCACGTTTACTCACTCAAAGCCTAAAATTAAAAAAAAATTAACAACTCTTAAAACTTAAACACCCTATGTACCCAAAATCGAAATCTAATCCAAACTCTAACCCTAGCCCAATAGTCCTCAACACCTCTTATAACATAACTGTAACTCATATCAAGCTTTTAATCTTCTTAACATTAGATACCCTATGTTATCTAGCTCTGACTTAACCTATCTCAAGAGCAGGGCAGACTAACTCAGAAAGGGTTACTCTAACAAAAAAACAATGATTTTTGGTTGGAGTAACCATTTAAGCTTTTCTTTGGCTCTCTCCTCTAGATCCAGATTAGTGCTCTATGAGTTACATAGGAGCATTGGCCACAATTCCCTCAGAGAGCCAGATGAGCACACTTAGTAATTATCAGTGTGATCAACTTTCACATCACAGATTGAGGTGACCTGGTATCTAATGAACATGAACCCCTAATTATGAAATATCATTTGTTGAGGGTTAATTAATTTGATAATTTATGCATTTGGAAGATTTCATAAGCAAAATAAGATTTTTCTTTTTAACATACACTCCAAATTATGTAACTTTCCTTTCTTGTATTGGGTCAAAATTGGACCTTAAGGCAAATACTGGTAGCAGAAATATGCTACTCTGGGTGGAATAACTATCCGCAGCCAAAAAATGCATTATTGAGAAACCCATCAATAATTAATGTGTGCATTTCCAGCAAACAAACGCTTCCCCTTTCCTTTAAATATAGCCAGTACTCAGTCTTCCAGTTTATTCTAGTAAAGTTACCAAACCAGTTTATTGACATACCTTGACAGTGGGGAAATTGTGTAAATGTGTGTTTAATTTGAGCATAGTTACCATTATGTACATTTATTTAACCATCAGCATTGCTAATGCCAAGTCCCTGTTCCTCCATACTCAGAACATGAGATCAATGAAATTTAAACAGTGTGTATAGGGTTTCTATTTACCATTGTTTGCCCGACCTTATAAAATGGCACGAAATTACCAGAAACAGCTTTAACACGACCTAATATGATAGTAAAACTTGTTCAAATCAGGAAACAGATTTTCTACCATTGCTTGGCCTCTTACTTAAATTACAAAGAACAGAATGCTTATTGTAAAAGCAATATTAAGCAACTACTTAGAACATCCATTGACTTACAGGGCCAGGTCAGGTGATGGATGTAAAATCATTTTACATATGAAATTCAGACACGAATAAAGGATGTCTTGTTTCAAATAATTAATTAGAAAACGACACATTTCAGATTGGTTGAGAAGAGTGTTCCTTAATGGGGACTATAAGAATCAAAATCAGTACAGTCACAACACTAATGCTCTTCCTATTCATCCTATTGCTGATGTCTAAAGTTGGTTGGATTCATAAGGGTTCATATGTGAAAATGTACAATGTTTTCAACTCACTCCAAAATTATTTGATAGCAAACATTTTTTACAGCCACATTAATTTAAATAATAACAAAACAAACAGGCCCTGTTTGCAAAATAAATCAATCTAAATTAGTACTACCTACACTGATCAGCCGCAACATTAAAACCACCTACAGGTCATTGAATAAC